GTCTGTCGCAGGAAACAGAAAACTCCGTGATCAGTCTGAGTCAAAAATCCAGTCTCAGTTCAGTAATTCCAGTGCCCAGTGCCGTGTCACATCCAGCGTGCTAAATTCATGGAGTTCAGTCTTCCGCCTTCCCTGCCTGGGGCACTCAGCAGCCGGGACGGGGCACAGGGTGCTCCTCCCCTTCCCCGCACTATGCTTCCGTCCCTCCTGCCCTTTTCACTAGCTTGGCTTTATCTCACGAGGGTCCAAGTGGGGAACAGGAGCTGAGGAAGGGCAGGAGAGTTCTGGACTTGACCTGCCCGTCATGAGATGGAGCTGGCCCTCCCATCTTGGAGGAGCTGTTTCCCAGGACCCCACTCCTGGTACCAAGTGGGGCCACCAGGCAGGGTCCAGTCAGGGAAACAGGACACACAGTAGGTATTTCAACCAAGAACCAGATGTAGCGACTTGGTTAAACGCAGGTGGAAGACTTCCAGAGCAAGGAGAAAACGGAGGTAACAAAGAAATCGGTATACGAGGCAGCTACTACCCTCTAGGGGTTAAGGAGTAAAGGGGAGAATAGTCTGGCCTTATCAGCACCTAAAAGTTCGCAGGAAGGCCCCATGGGGGTGGGAGCCCAACCTGTGAGGAGGGGCACGGCCGCTGCAGGGGCTGCAACCTGGGCAGGTGTGCGGGACCCCGCGTGTGGCTTAGGGCTCTGCCATTGCCCTCTGACCGGGCTGGGCTCAGGGCGAAGAGCTCCCTGTCCACACCCAAGATCTGTGTGCGCAAGTCAGCGGCCTCCTGTGGCTCCGCTCCCCTGAGCACACGAAGCATCGGGGAGCTGCATCCGGAAAGGACTCTTGACACGGCGCCTGCCGGGCCGGGCTCCTCGGAGAGCTTCGTAGAATGTTGTGCTCATGGCATTTTCTTGGCAGAAGGTCACACGTGTCATTGGCTTCTCACAGATGTTTCAACTAAAGAGAGGGAAGAGTGAGATTCTCAAGAGCGAGCCGCGGCGCAGGGTCAGGACAGCTCCTCGCTGCTGTACGGTGTGGGCTCAGAGGCAGCGATTCTGGATTTCCCTTCCGGCTCTGACACCGCGTAAAAGAACAGGAAGCGGCACACACTCTTGCTCCCAAGGGCCCCCGGGCCCCGAAGCCTTGGTCCCCCAAACTGTCGCGGAGCGTGCCATCCCCAGGCCAGCTGCCAAGGCTGTGCCGGGCACAGCCCTCTCACATCGTGGCCACACTCAGCTGCAAGGAGCTGTGACTTACCACTCTGTCACTGCTATTACCGATTCTGTCACCAACTCTCCTGATTAAAAACAAAAAACATCAAAGAACCGCCTTATTGTCAAAGGTAACCTTACGCTTAAATTCGCACAAGTAGCCACAGAATCATCAGGACAACATTAAGTGGCTAATTATGGAGTTATGTTGAAATATTAGCACCCTCCCTCCTCCCCCAAACCCCATCCCACCTCTGCGTGCTATTTCAGTCGATAAATAAAAGTATTTTAGTGCTGCCTACAGTTAAATAGGGAAGGGGGTAAGATGGAGAAATGGAACCCAGCCTGATACGAGAAACATCTTCCTTCTCTAGAGGCCTTTAAAAACAAGACTGAACTCATATATCTCGAAAGATTCTAGTCCTTTTAAACAGAGAAAAGACAGTGAGCCACTGAGAGCCCTTCTACACCTGTGGTTTCAGCTATCTAACATCCTAAAATGCCTCAAAAAGAAAACTGAGATGAAAGTGGCTTCTCCCAGGCACAGAACCACAAGCACAGAAGTACCTTTAACAGTTTTAAGTAATATAAGTAAAGATCCACCGGTGAGTTCTCCTGGCCACACCTCATGAGAAAACAATTATACTAACACTCCAAATATTTGATTTTGAACTTGCATGTTTTTGATGTCAAAACTTATTGCCATTGCTTTCGAAAACTTAGATTCAGGAATTTACAGAATATTCTCAGTAAGAGAACTAACAGAGAAATATTTTTGCCTCTCAATGTAGAAACACTAATATTGACTGGAATCAGGACGTCCAGCGGCTGCCCATGTTCATGTTAAGTTTGTAGTCAGAGATGGCGATGCATAAATACACAGTCAACTGTCACTTAAAAACACACAAAAATTGGACACGCTATATATTTCTCTTTTAAAACGTAGTCTGTATTATTTTCACCAATCAAAACACACATAATATATTTTATTAAATGTATTCTGTATTATTTTCACCAATCAAAACACACATAATATATTTTATTATAAAACATTAGGCAATGTTACTTTTGAGATATGCAGTCTGAAAGGTCACACTTGTATTTATTACCAGTATGAAATACCGGAGAGTTACATTGAAATCAACCAGACGGACTCATGATTATATGGCATTAAATCTGGTCACAGCAGCACCCGGCTCGGTGCTTCTGCATGGGCTCCGGGCCTGCGGAGGGCTTTCTCCTTTTAGCACTGGGCTCTGAGTTCCGCACCCCAAAGATCAGAGCAGCGCCCCGTTTCCAGCTCCAGGCCCAAAGCTGACTCAGTGTGCGCAGTGGTGTTTCTAGACTGCCCTCCTGCCCTGACAGAACTCTGTCTGCTCTCCGGAACCTACACTTGAAATTAAGACCCAGACACAGGGAAGACAGTCATTTCCTTTTTGACTGAAAACTAAGCCAACAAATGAAACAAACCTAGTCCAAATTCCAGGATAATAATAAATTACCTGGTTTATAAAAATACATGTCCAAAATAGTTACTTCCTGGGTTGTGTACAATATAAATTACAAAAATAAAATAGAAAAGATGAAAAAGTTGAGCACATTTTTCAGTTCTTTATCCAACATCAGCATTTCTCCATAGAGATCAGTTTGAAACCATCTGCATTGCACCAGGACCCTGGCGAATCTAGGCTCAGGAGGGAGAACCCTGACTCTGGGCTGAGGTATTTCTACGGAACTCTGTGGCCCGTCCTAGGTGCACTCGCTTCTACCTGACGGAAGAGAGCCGTGGCGGGAGACCCCGTCACACCAGCACAGGCCCATCCCTGGCAGCAGCTCACCGATGCGCAGAGGGCTGAGTGAGCAGACAGCCCGTCTATGGGGCACCGTGCTCCGCTCTCTCTCCTGGTGGGTGGGGCTCAACGGGCCCTCGGCATCAGGATTTGCACCGTGTAGGGCAGATAATGCATTTTTAAAACTCTCCCTTTTCTTTGTTTTTCCTTTTAAAGATAGATTTAGTAAAGTCTTTTAAAAGAATATGTATTAGAGAGAAGGCCATTTTAAGATGTTTGTATATGTATAGTGATAACTTTCTTTACTATACTATCGGGCCTCCCAGGCTAAAATAATCTCAAGCCATATAATAGGTGCTTCTGCTTCACTGCACGTTATTATTACCATTTTGTACTTGAAAGTGTCTAAATGACACAATATATAACTATTTCTTATTTCAATATTAATTTTGTTCATCAAGGGTTCCAGTTTCCAGTGATATGACCAACCAATAAGATATAACTGGTGCACAGAGAACCATACATTTTAGACAATATTTATAATAAAGTTTCTATCAAAGTTCCTCCTCAGAACATACTCTATAGAATGTTGATCAAATAGCTTCCAAAATAATTGAACACAAGATATGAACTGGTAACAAAATAAGCTCAAGGGAAAAACATTATGAGCACAGGTGTGATCATCCTAGCTCCATCTCTGCTGAGACACTTAAATACTCAGAATCTTCATGAATTTTGAACAATTTACATATCATGAAGTCTGAAAGTATCAATTTCAGGTGAGCAGTTTTAACTCGGAAAATATTCAACAGTTAATCTCTACTCTGCAGAGCTTTCCCAGAGCGTTCACGGAGCTCCCTTGGGAAGAGGGAAGGCCCCACACAATGGGACCCAACACGGCAAACAGGCACTCTGAACCCGCCGGGCCTCCCGAACCGGACGGAAGAGGACGCTACCGGGTTTCTTTCAGTGAAGAAAGAAACCTGAGTGAGAGTGTGGTGCTGGCAAAGGGACACGCTGCCTCGTGGAATCGCGTGCTCCAGCTTTAACGAGGGACGGTAAGGACGGGGCCAGGCTGGCTCTGGCGAAGGAAGGAAGCTCTTAGCGAATGGCTGCCGCGATCTCCAGCGAGCATTCTGGAAAATTCTCCTCTAACATTAGGCCATGAATTCAGTGCTCCATCTGCCGTTGTATTTTGAGAGGGAGTGTCGTGTGGCTAGTAAAGAAGGTGAAGTTCTAGGTAGCATTTAAAATTAACAATAAGTCCAGGAGACCAAGGAAAAAGAGATACGGTGGATAGGATTTCAAAGGTATAATGTCTTCAGCAGCATAAAACAAAACTTAAAACTCCGTCATGCAGTAAAGCTGAATGTACAATCAGCCCAGTCCAGACAGGTGAGAGAAAACGAAGGGCCATGTAAGTGTCTTGGTTGTAGCAATGACAGTTCTCAGCCCCAAACATCACAAATTTAAGAAAAGCTATATTTTTTTGTTTATTAAATAGATTTACTTATATTCCTTCTGAAATATAATAGAATAAATCATACCGTAGAAGAGGATAAGATGTGATAATAACATGATAATGGCCAATCAATATACATAAATCTATTTTTTTCTGGACAGATACCAAATTACTTAAGAGGATGAAGAGATAATTCTAGAAGCAGCGCTACCTGGAAGATCATTTAGCATTTACATACCGACTTCCTAAGTAGTAGGTGGGCAAGCCCAAGCAAGCGTTTGTGGTCACATGCATGTGAGTCCCAGAAGTTACGAATGAGGTGAAATTGTCACTACTCTTACCACACAACTTTAAAAAAAGTCACCTAATTCTAACTGCTCACCTGAAATGATCTTGAAAGAAATCTCTAAAAGTGTGGCTTGTACTTTTTTTCTTCAGACATAATCTGCTTTGTTCCACAGTCTAAGCAGGCAATCCTATCAGATCTGAGCAGGGCAAGGCATCGTGTTTCTTACATGCAGAACATGGAGTTTTTCTATTTGGTTCCATCAACTCCCAAGCATTTCAGGCCCATGGAAGCGAGAGTTCCTCCAACGACAACAAGTTTGCTCTTTCTGACTTATCATCGACAACCTTCGAGGGGCCCTGTCGAGGCATCCAGACTGCTGTCCGTGTCTGAGGCCAGTGTCTGCTCGGTGGACATGGATGAAATGTCATTGATCGACGATGACTGAGAAGGAGTCGCGTTGCTACTTACTGCTGCATCTGTGCTAAGAAAACCAAATATAATAAAATCTGAGGCACGACATTGCTGCGAATCCAGGCAGTGAGACTTTAGGCCATTTCTTGGCTTTCTCCTTTCTGAGTTTCCCAATCCTGACTATAAGTATAAACAAGAAGTTAGTCAGCTGTACATTTGGAACTTTTTCTTGAGTCTTTTATTAGGCCCAGAATCCCAAATATTCTTATGTCCTTCCCTGAAACGTTCTTTTCTTCCCAGAGACCAAATACATATGTGGGCATGTGTAATCATATTAACTACTTAAAAAAATACCTGCTGGATTTCAAATAGACATCAAAAGGATATTGCCAAATTTATCCTAAAACTCAGTGTCACAAAAGGCTTAAGTCTGAATAGGATTCAAGTGTCATCAGATACTTGAATTATAACAATTATAACAAACACTACTGAATCTACAGAAAAAAGCATCAACATTCAAAGAAATCTTTTGCAATAAATAAAATAAAGGCTCTATACTACAAAAAGGAAAAAATTTAGTGGCCTCTTGTACATTTTATTTTGGTTTTATGAATATAGAAAACTGACATTTTAATCTTTTAAGGCAAATGAAACTATCCTATTTCCTACTATTCACATTTTAGTCTGATTTGAACAAAAATAAAACATGCAGGCTGTCAGAGATTAGTGTTTGCAGCCTTAAATCTGTGCTTAGTTAACGAGCACCTAAATTCCTGCTGAAGTTATATAATCTCTAGATGTCTGACACCAGCGTCGTGGTGAATATAAAATTCAAGAATGAAAAGTAAGCTGGGCGATGTGCACGTCCTCACATGTGTGTGCACACACGGGCTTCCCCGTGGGAATGGGAGAGAGGACATACACAACACTGCAGACTTCCATTTAGCAAACAGGGTAGAATACCTAGTATTAACGCAGGTTAATACCACTAATATCAGAGTCCTTCATAATCTTACAATTAGCTAGTCCTTAGGCTTCTGCCACTAGGTACAGCAAGATATGAAAAATTTCCTCAAAAGAAAACCTAATTCTCTTTTACCTGGATTTGCATTCACGTTCTTTTCTAACTGGGTGGGACCAGTGCAAAGAGCGCCATGCACATCGCAAGGCTTTCAGTTCAATTTCCTCATCTGTAAAGGGAGCTGACGGCGGCTGTAGCGAGGATGACACAAGAGCACTCACACCACAGTCAGCCTGGTGCGCGGCACGTGGGTAAAATGTCAGCTGCGCCCACTACGGGCGCCACCACCACGGGCCAAACGGGCACCGTCTCACACGCGGTTTTCAAACCCAATGCTCTCCAGGCTCGTGGCGACTGTCGCCACTTATAAAACCCGAACAGGGAAAGAAACATATCACACATTCAGACGATTAAAGCAATCACTAACCTGAAGGCTGATCTTTCACAACGCCGTTCTTGCTCCTTTCTTCCCAATCCATTACTTCTTTGTAAATTAGCTCTTCAAACAGAAATGCGAGTTAAAATGCTTCATCGGTTTCTCTGCATCTCTAAACTCTGCTTCCAAATCAATTGGAACCACTCCAAGGGCACTGTGGCATGTTATTTTTAATTGTGATGTACAGTCGATGCAGTAATATAGTTTACCTGGACCAATATCCATGTTTTGATCCATTAAATCTTTTCAATTATTAGGTAGCAAAAATCGGAGGGCAGTTCTGAATCCGCAAGAGGGTTTTACAGAGAGAGAGAACTGGCGCACTGGCTCTCAGAGAGCATTCAAAGCAGTGGAAGTGCTCACACCCGTGCCAACGTGTTCCTCTCCATCACCACTGTGGCTGTCCCGCCAGCACCGCGTGTGGCCGTGAGCCCCTTCAGACTGGCCAGAAACGACCCCTCAGTCTTTCTGTGGCTCCAACTTCAGTTTTCCTCAACTTTCGTTTGTAAGAAAACTTGATTGCTGCCTACGTAAGCTATTGGGGATGTCTACCCTTTCGGTATCCACCAACCTTAGCACGCTGCAAGTGTCCACTGAGGCCCACGCCTGCGCTGCGCGCGCCCTGTCGAGTGTGGGCACACAGCGAACTGCGTTCCCCGCCTCCCGCAGGGCCCCGGGCAGGGCCCCCTTAGTGCTGACCGCTCTGACTGCAGTTCTCAGTGAACACTGATCCTGCTGTTTAATGCAAGATTGTGACTCCACCTCTTCACTGTGGGCTTGGTTTGCTGTGGACTGTTTGGTTAATCTTATAGTGGTAACAACACCATTTGCATATTTTTAATCTAAAGTTTTCCCCAAACTAGATTTTAAAACATACACACAACTACATGGCTTAAAACAAACAAGCTCACAGGAACCCCAGCCCTCACTCCCCATTTCTGCTCATATGGGAAACTCTACAGGTAACGTCTGGCCTGTGAATTGGGCTGGCCTGCCAATCTGCAACGTGTCATCAAGTGTGAAATAATAACTAAGCTCAGTTTACCAATACTGGAAAATGTAAAGTCATGTGGAAAAGCCCTTATTTTTCTCTCTTGAAGCAAATAATAAGAAATTCATACATGTTCCTCTACAATTCTGTTACCGTCAAGTTCCTTTTCTGCTGGAAGGTGGAGGAGAGGACAAGTGGGCCGCAGGGGCGTTTGCCCTTCCCGAAGGGCTGTTGGCAAAGTGAAAAGCCTCTGCTTTACAGGACTGTAAGAAATGTCAGAAGTAAGGACCAAAATAAGCTCTGTCTTTACCTTTCCATTCTTCAATTGCATGTTCTCTTTCTTCCAACTGGGCATCATAAATTTGAGGTGGTGGCTAAAATTAAATAACACAGAAAGTCAATAGTTCAAAAAATAATGAGGCATAAAAACAGGTAAAATCACTTGGAAGACTTCTAGTCTATGATACGGATTTAGTTTCATTCAATACATAGTTTATTAAAGATTTTTGTTCTTAAAAAAAGTGTGATGTTACATCAGTTTCAGAATCAAAATAATTGTGGAAACATTAACCAAAAAAGAGACTATTACGGTCTTCTTAATAATCACATGACCTCAGAACACTAAAGACACCTGCCCAAATGTAATTATAAATTAATAATCACAGGCTGCTTCCTAGAGTTCCACCATGGCAGGAATCATGGAGGGTGCAGTGTTTCTCAGAACACACTTCTAGTTTACATTTCTTCACACTAAAACTCCCAAACCCAATGCCCAACTCATAAATGGATTATTCCAAAAATCTGCTTATAAATTGGACTCTTTTAATAAAAAACAACGTTTGAAATGATGGTGATAACCATAGGCCATGACATAAAATGTGTTTTACCAGTGGCACGAAACAAGCATGGCACTGTGTGGTCTCTTGCCTTGCGCTAATGATCATCCACGCCGAGCCGACATGGAAAACCACACCCGGGCACCAACCTCAGAGCGGAGCCCCCGCGGGGGGGAATGGGGAAGCGCAGATGCCTTAAGGAGGGACAAACAGACTTGCGATTCTCAGCAAGCCGCTCAGCCTCCTGATTGGGTGGCCTGAACGAGAGGGTGTGACCAAAGCCCACGGCGCAGTGCGAGGAAGGGAACAGATGCTTAATGCGTTATCCTCGCACACCAGCCCTGGCACAAACGGAGACGACTGCGTCGGCACGGCGTGAGCATGTTCGCTCCCGAGCCGCTCTGAGCTGCGGCTCCGACACCACGTGCCCCGAAAGGGGTGGTGACCCAGGTCCCAGATAGCACGCAGCCTTTTTGTAACTGGGAGCTCTAAAATCTAAAACTTGCTATCCTTATGTAGCCATTCTGGACTAACAGACAGAAGATCCAAGGAAATATCAGCCCTGTCTGCACAGATGTATCTTTTCAAAATCAACACTTACTGCTTCCGCTTCCGTGGGGTCGTACCAAACAGTGATATAGGGGTGACGCAAGGCCTCGTCTACAGAGATCCGCTTGTCGGGATCAATCACTAACATTTTTGATAACAGATCTCTGGCTTGACTCGCTAGGGTGGAAATAAACATGAGATTAATAAACTAATGTGGTTAATCTGAGAAAAGAAAATCACACAATAAAGAGTTAAACGTGACAGCACACAGCACAGCTAGAACAAATGTACATTAACTTTGAGAAATGTTTGACAGGTTCAAGATCAACAGAATCCAAAAACTTTTAAGAGAAAGTTGAGTGGCTACTGTCACGACAAGCCAGGTTTCCAGATGTGGTTTCCACCTCTGGACCTGTGAGGGGAGAGGAGACAGGGGGTCGAGGGGAGGGCCCCGGGCAGCCTCCGACCAGCGTATGGACAGGGCCCAAGGTGAGAAACCACAGCCAGGAAGGTGGCAAGAGCCGAGCGAAGGCCGGTGCCGCTGAGTGCGATGCGCGGCACGTGCGAGTGTTGTTTCTCTGTGTCACATTGAGACGAAACTGGAACAGACTTTTTAGATCACACGACAGTCTTACGTTCCCACAGTATCAAACCCTTCACAGATGCCTCTGCTCGGCCTGCCTTGTACAATGTTGGCAACATGCACTTCTTTTTTTTCAATCTACAGATAAGTACTCAGAGAAGAACCAACAAGTTCAATAACTTAATTAAATGTAGGGCTTGCCTAGGTTTCAGCAATTAAAGTCACGACACAACAGGCAAAGAAGGATCGGAGCTTTTCTGACCAAGGCACAGTTTACCCGGACGTGGACAGAAACAAATCTGTTCTTTTTCCTTAAGCAATCATACTTTCGTGAAGGCACAGAAGGGCAGGGAGGACATTTTTTATCAAACTACCATCGTGTTTTTGACTCTAGAATCTGTATTCAAGTGTTCTTTATACCTGAAAACTTTTTGAATTCCAACTGCTGTAAGTCTAACATAAGAGTCTTTCAGAATGATCTGAATATTCTGATCTTGGCCAAAGGCTTCAATTAAACCCTCTTATAGAGGATGATTCTAGGCCTTTAGGCCTCCTCTTCTCGGAGCCTTCACAGATCACATTCTAGCCTGTAGATGACTTTATTTCAGGAGTCTAGCCATTTTATCTCCCAACGATCACACGGAAAAGTGAAAGGTTCACCTTAATTACAAAAACAAATATAAGAAAAAAAGGATATCTTACTTTTTATTTTGTCTCGTTCAGATTCTGATGGGAATATCCAATCTGGAAAGAGTTCTTCAAATTTGATTCCAGGATACTTTGGTCTATTTTCTACATAATTCCTCACAGTTGGCTGAAGTTTCTTCATGAACTCTGCCGATGGTGTTCCTAGCTGCTCAATAACTTTATTCCACTGATCAATATCTAAGGAGTCTCTTGAGGAAAATACAACTGAAATGCCTTATATTCATATTACATGTAGTAGCATCATTTGAGAAAAAGCTATATTTATACCGATTGACAAGTGATTAACTAGCCCGCCCCACGGGGTTGGCAGAAGCATTGTGGAATAATATTCAAATTAGGTTTAAGTTTCCAAGTTAGACAATTTTTAAAAACTTCTACACTCTGAATCTTTATAAACTATTATCACAGTTTATGAAATCAATGCAGTGAGCCCTATATATGCCTTCCCATTATGGTTCAAAATAAAGTTATCTTGAAACTAAGAATACCTATGACAGAAATGATTAAACATGAAATTAGAAAAACATTACATAAGCAAATGGAAATTCATTTCTGCACTAGCGCTACCTTCGATTCGCAGCTTTCTAAAGGAGAGGAAGGCAAGGGCTCTCAGAGGGACCCACTCAACCTCTTACGTGCAGGGCTGGGGAGGCGAGGCCCGGCGTGGCAGGTGGCAGAGGGTGTTCCGAGCCTCGGCCTCGTCCTTTGCCAGACTCTACTGTGCACCAAATACTTCCAAGGTGTCAGGGAAGTCCATCTCCCTTGGGGCCAACTTCCTTATTTGTGCGATGCGGACGACACTGGCTTTGCCTACTCCACGGGGTACTTGCTAGGGTTAGGGTGACTGGGATTGTGTGGGGGGCAAGTGACCCTGAAACCGCGACCAACCACACACGGGACGCAAGCCAGAAAAATCCTGGACACGGCAACTTAAAAAAGTGACTGCCTGAGGCGTATCTCAGAAAACACACTTGGGAAGGAACCCATGAAACAACCCAGGCAACAGACACAGGAACTCGGTTCTTCCAGAATGTCACGCTTCTGGACCTGCTCGGGAAATAGTTTCCAGCATCCAGATCACTAGCAAGTTCTCCTTCTTCACTCCCGTTTCATACATGGTGCCCAATCGGAATCCCATCCACATGCCATTTACCTGCTTCGCACCTTTCCCTCTCTCCTTACACTCTGGACGCCTCCTCCCCATGCTCACGATTCACTGGGAAAACCGAGCCAATCTCAAGAGAAGCCTCCCAGGGCCCCTCCACGCCGCAGCCCAGCATCCGTGTGCCACTCACCACCGAGGAGCCATCTGGGCTCCCGGCGAAGGCGCAACCTGCCCGGCTCTAGACCTCCACCCTCGAGCCTGCGCACGGGTGAGCCGCCGTGAGTCCTCTCACTGCTGCCTCACGGGCACTTTGCTCTCTCCGGACACAGCCCAGCACCACTCAGACGCTGGCTTTCTCCTGTGCTAGCAGCGCAGCCACGTTCTCTTGGCGCCACCTCCCCACGAGCTCTCGCTCCGTTTCTTCTCCCCCGTTTGCAGCAACACTTCCTGAAGAGTTATCTGTGCTGCGTCTCTAACTCCCAGCCTCTCTGCTCTCTTAAGCAGACTCGGTCAGGCTTTCTCCCCCCACCTCCACCAAGGCCGTCGCGGCCACCGCAGAGCACGGCGGCAGTCCCCAGTCTCGTCTCCCGCTCCGTGTGCACCAGCCTCCCTCAGCCCCTTCCCTCCGGCCTCCAGGGCGTCACTGGAGTGCCTCTCCATCTCCCTTCCCTGTTCCTCTTGTGCCGCCACCGTGAGTGGCTTAGTCCTGGGTCCTCGTCCCTTCCCGCTCTGCAAGCACTCGCTGCCAGACGCGAGGCTCCAACGCTGTGACAGACGGACAGCGCCCACGTTGACCTCTCTATCCCAGGCCTCTCCCCCGATCCCGCTGTCTAACAGGCATCTCCCAACTCTAACAGGCTCGTGGAGGGTTCGGCTGCAAAGCAGACGCAGGGTGCAAGCCCTTCTCCCCAGCTGCTCCCCTACCAGCCTGCAGTGAGCCTCCACCTCTCCGTGGGACGAAAGGCAGCCTCTGCACGGGTCTCCCGCTCTGCCCTGCCCTTGACAGTCCGCCTTAACCTCAGCAGCCTTTAAAGGAGGGACGGAGCCTTTGAAATCGAAGTCAGACTAGCAGCCTAAAAATGGGCAAGGGCGAGATAAATAACTGCCGGAATAACGACAAACGGTCATTTCCATAGACGGCAGGTGGCGAGAAGAGGGAAGATAACCCGGCAAGCCCGGTGGGCCTTCTGAGTCTGTGCAGACACTGCTGTCATTAACTCCCACGACCTGTGAGGCAGACCACAGAGCTTTCATTTTATAAAAGAGGCAACCAAGGCTCAGAGAGGCCTTGAATTCCTCAAGCATGCACAGCTGCCATCGCATAGGCCACAGCAGGGACAGGAATTCCTTTTCTACCCCAGGTCACAAATCTAAAGCAAACATCTGAGGATCTTAGTCTGGTTTCTGGAAACTCTTCTCTTCTCCAAGTTTTCAATCTAATGTTTAAAAGAGTTGCATGATTTTCTTTGACAGTGGCTGGGCACAGTAGCTTAGGCCTGTAGTCCCAGCACTTTGGGAGGCTGAGGTGGGAGGACTGCTTGAGGCCAGGAGTTTGAGACCGCAGTGAGCTAGGATCATGCCACTACACACAAGCCTGGGTGGCAGAGTGAGACCCTGTCTCTCAAAAAAAGAGAAAATGATATTAAACTCTGTGTGAGTTTCGAGAATAACATTAGGTGACCTTTATATATAAAACCATTAATTACTGACATTGAAATATGTTAATATGTAAAGTAGGCATTTTAAATTACTTACTAAAATGGATCAAAAAGTACCCACGTTTTCATTTTTGTATTTTTTGAAGAAAAAATTTCTTAATTAATAAAACAAGGCATAAATTAACTAAAAATGGAGACAAAGTGAACATTAAGTGGAAATAGGTAAAGTAGGCATTTTAAATTACTTACTAAAATGGATCAAAAAGTACCCACGTTTTCATTTTTGTATTTTTTGAAGAAAAAGTTTCTTAATTAATAAAACAAGGCATAAATTAACTAAAAATGGAGACAAAGTGAACATTAAGTGGATACTGGTAAATTATTAATCATTAGAATACCTTGACTTTTCCCTTTTTAATTGCATTTACTTGCAAAATAAAGACCTCCTTATTTATAGGCTGAAACAAGTGAATCTGAGGTAAGGCTACGGAAAACTGCTAGAAAATTTACTAGAACAAAATAAAATGCTACCTTTAACTTCACTCATTGTATAATCTATGATGTAGAAAGTGCAAAGGAAGGTAAACAACAGGAATAAATCCTTTTCATTCCAAGTTTGTGTTGTGAAGAATTTATAAGAAAACCATCCTCATAAAATTGTCAAAAACTAAAATTACTTTTGTAAAATCCACACAAAACACTGACTCCAGAGCTTGATCTCCTTTCAGCAATCATCGATCTGTCAAAGGACAGAGACCATTTTAAACTTTCATAACAAAAAACAAAGTCAAAGACTAATGAAAAACTAAGTGATTAGAACACAAATGAAAAAGGGTATATGTTAGGGTGAAAAATATTAAAGATGGGAGAATGGCCATATGAGCAAAGAGAGCTATGGTGACTATCATAGCAACTACTCTTCTTCACGCTGTATCATTCCTGCGATGTCCTGGCCACAGTACGAGTTAGTCTTTGTATTTATTTAGACTTCCCCAGTGTGTCACAAAATAACCCCCTAGATGAATTTTTTAAAAAGTTTCAACAAAATTTCAGCAGAGTAACAGACAAGAAAATTTAACATATCATTCCTCACATAATTTTCATTTTAATCTTGTTCACTTAGGTCTTATGTACATAGTGTGCTTCAGTTCTTACTCTGGGGAAAAACATTTTAAGGCATGTCGATAACTAACAAAAGTTTATTAATTAAATCACATAAGCATACTAGCCTATTAAATTTAGATAGCATCTTTCCTAAAGTAATAAACTAGACAAAACAGTATGTTTGTTTAAATGTCAGAATATACTTATTAAAGAGTAAATAATTTCTTCTATGTGCCCAGCTATTTCTGATAAAATTAAGAGCTAATGTAATTGGTTTAACTTAACTCCAAGTCTCAACCAAACTGTCACAGATAGGCAAGTAAAAAAGAAAATGTAAAACTGAATCACTTGGTTCGTGACGCTAATTTAACAGACGTAACAAAGACCCCCTCAGAAACGGTCTAGAGCGAGTTACGACATTTTCCGTGTGAGTGCTCATGTGAGCGGTGAGACATGCTGCCCGGAGTTACGGAGAGCGTGGCGGGGCCAAGGCCGGGGAAGGATACGGTCAGTGCCTTGGAATATCACACAGCCTTTCACCAGCTCTCCCATGATGCAACCCACTGACCAGATATCGACTGAAAATAAAATGAAATGATAAGATTATGAAGCGCCATGAACAAAACAAAAGTGAGGAAAAGGAATTCTAACAGTGCACTAAACACACAGACATGGAAAAATAAATTGCTAGCTAAGGGTGAACTTTTTACACAACATGAATGATTGCTGACCTCTACTTTAGCCTTCGGTGTGCAGCAACCTGGGGTTTTAGTGTCAAAGATTCCAATACTTTATAGCTTCAAACAAACAAACAAACAAACAACCAGAAACAAAAAGTGCCTGTGAACACAAAGCTCCTCGTGGCCACGTGCCCACCCACCCCGCAGGCTCCAGGGCCAAGTGCTGGGTCTTCCCTGAGAAGGATACAGTCTCTTCCTGGGAACAGGACTTTATGGAGGACCATTTCTGCCATGATGCACCCGACGGACCAGATGTCCACTACCAAATACCAGGTGATTAAAAAGCAGCTGGAGTCCCACATCTCCGTTCTCCACACCCTCCCAAACAGAGACAAACCCAGTACACTTCGCCAGCTTGTCAGTGGGAGCTTTTATAAAGTACTGACGCCTTGCGCACGACCATTCTCTAAACTGCTGTGTCGGAAAGGCAGCAGTGCTCAGTGAGGGGACAGCTTGCTCGGCTGGGTTCCAGGAGAAGTCCTGCCAGAGGGGCCCTGACTTCCAAGGTGCCACCCTCATCTGGGGGCCCCAGCTGGAGCCCAGACCTTGGCTGGCGCAGGCGGCACTATCTTAGTGCCCTGCTGGGCAGCGGGTGGGGAGGAGGTACTGGGGGATCTAATTTTCTCTCCCTCCACGGGAAGCACACAGAGCTGCGCGTCTCAGAGCGGGCGTACACGCTACACCACATGCACTGAAGCAAAACTCATTTCAGATGACTTGGGCAAACCTTCAGTCTTTTTCTTTTCTTTTTTTTAATAAGTAAATGTAATTTAGTTCTTTTCAACAAATTTGTTAAAAGCTAAGTTTCAAAGAGCTCCCATATTGCTAGAATAAGCTAAGTTGTGATGTTAAAAAAATGCCAGTTTTACGTGGAAGAGAACATGTTGCGTTATTCCATTTATACTAGGTTCAAAAAACCGAGCAAAGCCAGTCTCCGGGCTGGAAATCGGGATGGCAGCCACGCTGGCGGGCCGGGGCGGGTTCCGTGGGCGTGCTCACACCAAGCCGCACCTTCGGGACCTGCGTGCTTTCCTGGGAGCAGGTTACATTTTGATAAAAAGTTCAAAAATAATAATTTCAAAAGTGGATTTTTAAAAGTCAATGATTTTAACCAATGGAAATACAAAATTACTTCCTATCCATGGACTATTACACTCTCCTATACTTCATATAGTTCAAAGGAAAGAGAGAAAACCAGCGAGGCCGCTAGAGCTATTTCAGACGTGCAGCCTCCTCCACCCCGTCCACACTCACCGTTCTCCTTGTAGCCCATCCCCAGGATGACTTCGGGGGCCCGATAGTACCGTGTCACCACGTAGGGCGTCATCATGAAGTTGGTGCACGCTGTCCGGGCCAGGCCAAAGTCAAGGATCTTAAGGGTGCAGTCTGATTTCACTACGATGTTGCTGGGCTTCAAATCCTAGGAAAGAAACGGTTTAAATGAACAAAATGAGCAAAGCCTGCCAAACAAACTGTTTCCCACTGGAAAGGGTCTGTGAAGCCAGCGACTGCTGAAGTATGGGAGAGTGCAGGGAGGAGGACGGTCGGAATCCAGCTCTGGGATTCTGCAACAATTCCGGAAAACTCACATCAAAGCTAATACAAATCAGCCTGAAGGGGTTCCCCTCACCCCTATGTGGAAACCTTTATGATCCTCCTTTGCTTCAAACCTTCTGAGAGGCCGGGCGCAGTGGCTCACGCCTGTAACCCTAGCACTCTGGGAGGCTGAGGCAGGAGGATTGCTTGAGCCCAGGACTTTGAGGTTGCTGTGAGCGAGGCTGACACCATGGCACTCTAGCCCTGGGCAGAGCAAGACTCTGTCTCAAAAAACAAAACAAAACAAAAAAAACCTCTGAGAGCGTCCATGCCCCCTCCTGTGGCCTTCCAGGCCCTGAGGGCTCCTGCCAGCCCCTCACGTCCACCCCGCTCTGCCTGGCCCTCCTTGCGTCCCTGCAACCCCTGGCTCCCTGCCACCGAGGCCCTCACGCTCACTGGTCAGTCCAGGGCAGAGCTGTTCAGTAGAAAATATAGTATAAACCACATGTATCACTTACATTTTCTAGTAGCCATGTTAAAAAGTGTCAACAGAAACAGGTGAAGTTAATTTTATTAATACAGTACATTTATTTAACCCAATATATCCATAGCATTATTAGTATCATCTCAAAATGTAATCAACGTAAAAACTTACTGACATATTTTATATTCTGCTTTTGGTACCGAGTCTTTGAAGTCCAGTATGTATTTTAGGCTTACAGGATAGCCACATTCTGAGCGCTCGACAGCCTGGGGTGGCGATGGCTACTGTGCTGGAGGCACAAGCCTGGCACTCGCTCATCTCAGAATCTCCCCGTGGCTCTTTCTCCCCGATCGCCAGTCTCAACTCCTCCCTCCCCCACGAGGACTCGCCACGCCCTCCCGGGCACCTGTGTTACGTCTCCACAGCCTGCATGTGCCACCAGTGAAATCAGCTGCTCATCCTTCGGTTCCCAGCCCCCTGGTGTCCCTGGTGCTGATCTGTGTGAGCAGGGTGGCAGCTGTGCCCTCGGTACTGAGAAGCACGCCTGGCACACTCGTGCTCGGGAGCCACCGCACTTCCAACGCCTCAGCACAACTGCCATGGTTTCCCCTCAAGACGTGAGAGCCTTTCTTCCAGCTCCAGCTCCTTCCTTAGGCCACAGGAGTTTGACTTTTGCCCGTGGACTCCGGCCTGCAGACTCACCCAGAAACCGTGACTTCTAAACGTCCACACCTATTCTCCTCCCAGGACACGCGGACGTGAAGCTGCACCGTCAAACTGCCCAGCCGCTGCTGCGCGGTAGCGCCAGGGGGTAGTTCCCGGGTGAAGCTGCAGGTTCCAGGAAACCGCCCAGCACCTGACTGCCCCCACTGCCCAGCGATGGGCCGTAAGAGGGTCGCAGGTTCACTGTGACGTTACCAGGACAGGCATAAAACCCATAACAAATTGACGACGACCACGATTATACTTCCGTGCTACTAAATGCTCTCTGTCTGAATTTCCTGGATTCAGTAAAATTTAAATTATAAGTAGTTAGTGTTTAAAAATGCAATGAAAATCTCTACCAGGCCCCACAAAGAGGCCCCCAGCTCCTCCATCGCACCTCGGGGCACTGGACAAGTGGCCCCTCTCACAGGGCAGCCGAGGAGAGGAAGGCTCGGCCCGTTGCCTGACCCCGCTGCTCCACGGCAAGGACGGGCAGGAAAGTGGCAGCCTGACTCCAGCCAGGACTGTCCTCTGTTAGGGGCCCGTGACAGAGCAAAGACCAAACAAACCAATTTTTTTTCTAGTTTTCTTTTTTAAAATCAAAGAATACAGCAAGAACAGGCATTTTGGAATACCAATTACTAACAGATAAAATAATGCTCAACTTCACAAAATTTTTTCAAAAACCCAAAATGACAAGGAACCATTTTGAGTCTACCGTGTGGCCAGGGTGAAAAGAAGGCAGCACCCACGCCGGCAGGAGGACCTGAGAGACCGTCAGTGGGGCCTCAGCAGGGACTTTCTCTTTCGGAGGCTGATTTTTAAAATATGGGAAATGTATATGCTTTATGCCCAGCAGTCCCTGAAGTGCGCCCTGCCCTAGAACTGACAGCGCAGCCGAGTGACTGAGGGCAGGAGCAGCCCGGCGCCTACCAAGGGCAAATTCAGCCATGGCAGGAGCCACCTCAACAGGCCACCTGCCTGCGAACCCCTGAGGGAGTCAGAAAACACGCCCATCTTGAGACGCCATCTGTCAGGTTAAAAACACTGTACTGCCATCTGCTGAAAACTGCGATAATAAAATGCCAATCCGGGCCAGGCGCGGTGGCTCACGCCTGTAATCCTAGCACTCTGGGAGGCCAAGGGGGGAGGATCGCTTGAGCTCAGGAGCTCAAGACCAGCCTGAGAAAGTGTGAGACCCCGTCTCTACTAAAAATAGACAGAAATTTGGCCAGGCAACTAAAAACATACATATAAAAAAATTAGCCGGGCATGGTGGCGCATGCCTGTAGTCCCAGCTACTTGGGAGGCTGAGGCAGGAGGATCGCTTGAGCCCAGGAGTCTGAGGTTGCTGTGAGCTGGGCTGACGCCACAGCACTCTACCGGCCAAAAGAGCAAGACTTTGTTTCAAAAAAAAACAAAAAAAGCCAATCTGGACTTCCAGGGCAGCTCGCCGCCCGGACCCCACAACGGGGAAGTGGTTAAGCAGTCTGGGCTCTGAGGGCTTCCGCCCACCCTTTTTCCAGTCGGCCTCCATGGAACAACTTCCAACGCTTAGCTGGACTGCAGCTTCGAGACTGCACAGCAAAGACAACCGTGCCACTGCAAATCTCGGAAACCTCTAGAACACGGAAAATGAGAAACGCAAGTTAAGATCCAAATGACACCTGGATTTGAGGGCTCAGCCCCCAGAGGCACAGAAGATGGAGAAGATGGCTACCAGGCCCGGCGCCCCCGTGGGCAGCAGCGAGGGTGCCACGAAGTGTGGCAGGAGCAGGGCGGGGGCTGCCTGTGCGGTCCCAGCTCCAGACCCACTGCCTGAAGAGCTGTCCCGGCGGAAGGACCCTGCGCATCGTGCCAAGTGCCTGCTGTCCGGCTCTCCCTGCTCTGTCCCCACAGGTGCACACAGCCACTGACTCCGGCAGCTGCACGCTGGGGACAGAGAAGACCCAGACCTTTTGGGGACGACTGGACACAAGGTCTGAGTGGACGCTGAAGCCCAAAGGCCCCGAGCACCATCACGCCTCCTCCACGCAAAGCGTCGCAGGGCCAGGTCGGCAATGCAGTCTGGCCCACGTCTCTTCTGGCCACGCCAGGACAGAGGGTGGGAGAGCTAACATGGCCTGAGGCAAAACCGTGCAGGAATACCTCGGTTCAGCCCAGGGGAGTGTGAACCCTTCCCGACCCTGCTTTCCGTCCGCCTGGAAGAATGCACCCTCCAATCAACGTGACACACCTGCGGCCTCGTTAACTGGCTCTAGTAACTCTGCTGCGTCTGTGACCGTGGACCAGCCCCATCCGGCCACATTCCACTGACAACGTCCGGTTATTCTGCAGGAACAGCGCTAACAAGCTGCAAGCTGCACAGCCAGAGCATGCACAGAAAACCTCAACTTCAGGTAATACTTGGAACTAAAGTCCCGCCTCCCCCTACCCTGCCCCGCCCCGCCCCACTCCTGGAACTAAAAGATTGGAACCCGCGTGCTGGACACTTTCCAAAGCAGGGGGTCTGTGTCCCGCATGCCCAGTGCTGCAGATCCCTCCCCGTGCCCTACCATAAATGGTCCTGTTTGGAGTCCTACTGATCCAAACCTGCCCTGCCAGCGCTCTCTGCCTGCCAACCTGGCCTCCCCGACACACGAACCCTGCCCCAGACCCCAGCTCCGGGAGAAAGATTTGAGCTTCGCCTGCTAGCTCCTTGCTGGTTGACCTCACGATGAAGCCTTTCTTTCTTCTTTCTTTCTCAAAGCCAGTGCCACCCTGTCGGCTTCTGTGTGGGGGACAGTGAGCCTTATGCCGGCAACGTGGCCGGCACAGCAGCCACGGCGGACTGCTAGCTGGCTAAGCCTGAGCAGTGAGGGTCCCTCTCCAGGATCCCTCTCGCTCCTTCAAAGGCAGACTAGTGAACTAATCTGAGAGATGAAAGGGACCCCCGGCCCTGCAGCCTTGAGGAGGCTTCATGGTGTGTCCACCCCCACGGGCGCAATAATATTTTTGATTTATTGTTTATTATAAGATAGTTTCGGGTTCCCATTTAGCCTCCTCCCAATGGTAACTGCCAAAGGGACTCCTGTGGGGGTCGCTCCGGCCGCCAAGTGCAGCAGCTCCAGCCATGCAAACAGGGATCGGGCGATGCCTACTGGGCGGCCGGAGGACCCGGAGGCCCACCGTCAGCCGCCAGACTCAGACCCCGCAGGAATGAAGGTCTGGGTCACACGTGAGGCGAGCCACAGTGAGGGCTGAGAGTACGGGTACTGCGGTGACAGGGCAACGGCTCATCCCACTACCCTCTGTCTCCTCCATTTTCCCTAAGAGGGGGCCGAGGAAGCCACAGGGGAGCCGCTCCCAGCCTACGTGGAAAAGCGGGCCTGAGAGGGCCTGGGTGGGCTGCGGCGGCCACGGAAAGGCGCGCCTTGGTCTCCCGCTGTGGGAGTGCAAGTGGCAGATGGCCCAGGTGCTGCTTCTGAACCCACCGTCTGTCTTGGCCACACACCTCCCACAGGGCTCTCAGCCAGGCATGATGGGCAGGCCAACTGAGGCAGGCCTGTTCCTGTGAGATGCACACGTGCCCCGGTGGCGACAGCTCCCACGGGGCTGCCCGGCAGCCTGGGCTCTGCCCCGCTCCCCGTCGCTGGGCCGGCACTGCCCGCTGGCAGCTCCCGCCTCTTCCAAACCGCTCCCCCTTCCTCTCTCGCTGGCCTTCTCCCAGCAGGCCTCTCACCTGTCTAATCCTGCCCTGGCTTTCTGACGCCTCCGACAAAGCCCCCTGCTCTACGGAGACGGGGAAGTGGCAGGGAAACAGCAAACGGCAGACGGCTTGGCAGAGTGGGAGCAATGCAGCCTCCGTGACCGGGCCACGGCGAGACAGCGGCCCACACCCAGGAGCGGCTCAGGGATGAGCCGCGGGCACTGCGGAGTCTGTTTTTTGCAAGCCCTGGTAAGGAGCAGTTAGCTGCCCCAGACCCCCACCTCCGCCCCAAAGGGGCGGCCTCTGCTCCTCCCTGCTGCCACCGGCCTGTCGTCTAGAGAGACTGGAGCCGAATCTCCAGCCCCGGAGGCCTCAGGTACAGCACGGACAGATACGCCGGCACCAGCACGGCAGGCCTGGGAAGGGGCCCGGCCTGCAGACGGGGGTCTCCAGTGACAGCCGGCCCTCCGCCACGGGGAGGCCCAGCTCCACCCACACAGACCTGCGCCACCAGCAGTCACTCTTAGCTTCCTCCTTTAAGAGACTGGAGGAGCCTTTTCTAGAGAAACTAAAAGGTGCCCAGAGAAAAGACCTACCAATGGCAATACCTGTGGCCTAGAGACACCACCCTTCAAAAACTCCACCTGTGCACTCAGCATTTCCAGTCGGCTTCTGATGCTTCAGTCTTAAACGTAACCAGACAACAGAGGCATCAGACATTTGGGGAAGGGAAAGACCACGCGGGAAGTAATAAAAACCTTCAAGAAAAAGTTTACTCTCAGAGAGATGATTCTGCATCCAGGTAACAAGAACGGAAGGCTACAAAAAGGAGCATTTAAGGATAAAAAGGAGTGACAACTAACTGGTGCCTCAGAGAGAGAGAGAGAGGAAATAAAGAATGAAGTGAGGAGGGCACTCTGAAAGAAACAATATGAATTTCTCAGACTTCCAAGACAGACACCTTCTTCCAGACTGAAAGCTAAGTGCCCAGCACAATTAATGGAAAAAATGGCCATATCAAGGCGTGTGTATCATGGTAACATGTCAGAGTACAAGGAATAAAGAAACAATGTAAAAAGTTTCTGGAGATAAAAACCAAACCGAAACAAATCCAGAGCACCTACAAAGGGTCCGTAACAAGATGGCCTTAAGAGTGCTCCGACGCCGGGCCAGGTGTCTCGCTCCAGTGGGCTGACTGATATGTTACTAAGAATTCTGTACCCAACCAAACTGGGAATCGTTTCCGAGGGCAGAATAAAGAGTTTCAGACATTTGAGGCCTCAAAAAATTTCCCTCCCGTGCGCCATGTTTTAGGAACCTATTAGAGGATGTGTAATCGTCTAATACTCCCCAGACAAGGAGTAACCTGAGAGAGAAAGGGGCAAGGCAGGCCAGGAAGCAGGGGACCCGACACGGGAGATACTGAAGGAAATCCCAGGGTGACCCTCCACGACAGGCTCAGGGCGACCGGTCCAGAGGGGAGCAGGACGGAGGCTCCAGGAGAGACTTCCAGAGAAGATGAAACAGCTAAGACAGCTCGACGCACTGAGGGAAGATTTAGACACCTGTCAGGAGGCTTAGGGTCGAATTAGCAGTAAGAACCTAGAAAACTACTCCCCCCTTAACATAAACAAACAAACAAACAAACGAAAACCTCAAACAAATGAAAGACAAGCGTTATTAATCCAGGTGCCGGAAGTTGAAAGGGAAGAAATACAACCAGGGTGTGAATGAAAGGCCCAGCTGTGTAGAGAATCTGCGTGGTCTCCCTGACGTGCAACAGCCCCGAGCCGGATGCAGCCACAGCGCTCCGCCCTGGGCGGGGGACGGGACAGGTGGCAGGGCGAGGGTGGGCTGGCGAGAGAGCTGAGTCAGCATCTTGTGCACCAAACGGAGAGAAAAAAATCAATGATGAGAGATCTAAGCGTAGTATTTCAAGATACAGAAATAAACACCAAAACAATCAGCTGAAAGAGCTGAAAGAGTTCACTTCTAGGGGGAAAGAAATGAGAGGGAGGAGGTGGGGGAGTCTGTTTTTCATAAACATTTGTAGAACCATTTTATCTTTGATAAAAATACAAAACAAAAACCAACTTATTCAGCAAGTTGCGGAACAGTGACGTACAAGACGGTAGCATCTTTGAAGAATGTAAGTTCACGAGGACGTGCGTATAGACAGACACGGTGGTACCGACATCAGTACACAGGGAGGTGGCCGTGTGAAGCTGGGACGGAAACGCACCAAACTGCTATCCCTGGCATCTCCAGGCGGTAAAGGAGGGCGGGCGTACTTTCATTTCTTTTAATGTTTTGAACTATATAAAGTAAAAAGTGGTGGGATCGTAGGCAAAACTTTATTTTTCAAACAATTAAATATTATGTTTAGTATGAAGCTATTTTAATAAGCAAAATTAAAAGTGCACATTCTGTGTGTGGCATCGTAGACAGGACAAAGGCCGGTACAGTCCACACAGAACGCTTAACCCACTCGAGGGCTAACCTAGGCCTCCTCCTCTTGGCAGCTGCACCGGGGCCGGGGTGCGGGAAACGGGGGCCTGTCACTCTCTGTTTCACGTAGCTGCGCACTGTCGGGAGCGTCCCCTGAGCCCACGCAGACCCCCACCGGGCTGCGAGCCTGGCAAGCCCTGGCTGTGGGGAGCGGGAAGTGCGTGGTGCGGAGGCTGTGCTGAGAGTGGGGGGGCGGAGGAGGCGGGGGTGGCAATGGAGTCACTTTCTCAGGTCCTCTAAGGTCTCTAAACTGGGCACCGGGTAAACCAAACACTTCTCTGGGCTTGATGTGGCCCGCGGGCCGGCAGGCGTGGACCAGGCTGCAGGGACCGAACAGTGCACGAAAAGGCACACGCGCGCTGTGGCTCTCGCGGGCTCTCCAGGAACAGGAGGCTGTTGTTTTGCCACCTACCTCTGGGCCCACGACGGGGCAAACGAGTCAGGCAAATCATTCCCCTTACAAAATGTATACAGCCTACAGCAGTCAGGCCTAATAATCTGGGGAATTATTCTACAGTTTGAATTTAATAAAAGATGTATTTAAGGGGTATTAAGAATGCCTTAAATTGTGTGAAGGCTGTGAAAATTTCGGGAGGAGAAATCTTCATTTTTAATTCAGAAATCTACTGTTAGTATTTTTCAAGTGAGTTTGCCCACACAACATGTTATTTTGCCTGACCACATGGTGGCAGCACAGGCCGTATTTTAAACAACAGCACACTGGCAGGCACGCTGGCAGGCACAATGGCAGGTACACTGGCTGGCACACAGGCACACTGGCAGGCACACTGGCTGGCACACTGGCTGGCAGATCAGGAGGTTTTCAGCCCGCCAGGCCCTGGGAGGACAAGAAATGCTGCCCTGATGCTGGCCAAGGGCCACAGACTGAGGCTTGGGAGGAGGGCAGGGGCTCTGCTCGCTGTGCGTGGGGGGCTCTGCCACCCTGGGAGGCCTCCATTCACCCAGGGGCTGCATGGAACCCACCTTTCCTGGCAGCTAACACATCTGCATGAATTACTGCTACCGTGCCACCGAAAGCCTGTCCGCTCTTCTCCGCACTGACGGGCTCCACTCTTCTGGTCTCACTAGCTTCTTCCCCACACCGATTTCAGCCCAGAAAAAATACAACTTCTTGCTGTTGGAACATAAAATCTAACGACAGTTTGCCAATAAAATTAGCACAGTAATAATTTAGGGAATGCTGGCAACATCTATTTCCAATAAAATTATATTATCTCTGACTCCAGTCTCGCTCAACATTTTAGTTGTTTTTTAAAAAATTCTGCTATGATGTTCTGCTTACACAGCTCTACAAGTCAAAAAATAACAAAAACTTACAAAACCAGCTGAGAGAATTACATTACACGCCCCTGGGTTTTCAGTGTCACTTCCTGACAGCACAGGCAACGCTGCCACCCCAATCCCAGCCTCGGCGGGGTCCCTGCCTGCCCCGCGACTCCAAGTGCTCGGGGTGCAGAGCCTGGCCGCTCCCACCGGAGGGGCAGGGAAGCCACTGTGGCAGAATTCTGCAAGACGAGAGATGGATGTCTGGGTGATCACTTAGTAAGAGTTCTCAAGGGACCGTTTCATTCTCTAATTGGCCTCTAACTTTCTTTCGCCCCAAACCTAAATTCCTCGCTGATTTCGAATATGGCGAAAACATTAACAAGGGGTGAATCTGGATAAATGGCACTTGGAGTTCTTTGCCCAAAAACTGTCTTGCAGTTTTTCTCTAAGGTTTAAGTTACTTCCAAATGAAAAGTCTGAAAAGGAACTTTTTCTTCCGCAGTACCCGACTCTCTCGGGACTCCGCAAGGGCAGGTGCCGCGGCTGATCCCCGCCCTGCGTCCGCAGCAGCTCACAGTGGCACACCAGGCCTCCACACACGCTCTCCAGTCCGAATCTCTTGAGACACAACAGGATTCCATGGTTTACTTGGGTTTCCAACACCGACAAACTGTTTCACAAATATTTTCTTTTGCATATAAAGGATTATGACAACCAAGTGATTGTGATTTCAAAAATAAAATTAATATATCACTACTTACTCTATGAATTATACCAGCTGAATGCAGATGTTTAATACCACAAAGCATCTGGTACAGAAGGTAGGACATTCTTTCATGGTCCAGCTCCATATGAATAACCTGGCACAAGTTAGCATCCATTAATTCCATAACCAAATACCTGGGAAAGAAAACATCAGCCACGTACATGAAAATTATCTAAAGTTCCCT